TTGTTTACCCTTTGTATTTTGACCATATATTTTGTACCTAAGATATTATTTTACGTTCTAAAACACCAAATGACATGAAGGTAAACAGTCTCATTGTCATTTACAGTGGTCAACAACAATGCATACCACGTCGTCTTTAAATAAAAGCACATTTGCAGAAACAGCTCATCCAAACCTGAAATGCCCACATTACCATTTCACTATAGGCACCGTGTTCGCAGTTCCACCACTTTGGCCCTCATGTCGTCCGAGGGGAGCGCCGCCGTTGACAATGGTGTCACGTCTCCCCCGGGGGCCGCGTGGAGAGGTGATTTGTGGTCGGGGAAGACTGATGAAGTGCTATTGCCACCCTGTTTCTTTGCAAGATCAATTCTACATGTAGGAGTGCAGCTTTATGAATGATGGAGACCTCCTCAAGCCATCCATACAGCTGCCCACGGACACCGAGGCCGGCCCCCAGTGCACCTACAGGCAGGAATAAAGCAATCACTCTTTGTGCCGGCCCATGCATTATGGACACGCACATGCATACTCACACGGGCTCGCAAAAGGCTACTATCACATCCATTAAGCTGATGCACAAGGACTTCAAAATAGGAGCAAAGTGGGAAGAAAATGTCACTGATCGTCCTATTGTCGTGTACAGAGCGGACCCTTTTTTATCAATATTTTGGATTGTAAGTTATATGATCACTGGAATAAAAAGTGTAATGTTTGAATAGTGTTTTTAATAACTTCAAACCAAAATAAATTAAATTATAGCCTTGTTTCTGAGGTTCACACGGACTTATCCAAGTGCAAATGTCTTTTTATGGCTGTATTGTACATTCCAGGGCATTTTTGAGAGGAGTTTGCATGTTCTCCCCGTATCTGCGTATCGGTATCCTCCGGGTGCTCTGGTTTCCCTTACTACTAAAATATATGCACAATAGGGAAGTAAATAATCTTTACTTATATAGCGCCTTTCACAGATCAGAGTCAGAAAGCTTTAAGGTTTACAGTTGTGGGAATTTGTCTCTCCCTCCACACAGAGATGGGAGCGGGGTTGCAAATACATGAGCCACATGCCGGATCTATGCACCCGGAGGAAACCTACACAGACACAGGATGAACATGCAAACTCCACTCAGAAAGGCCCTGTTCCGACCGGGATTCGAACCCAGGACCTTCTTGCCGAGAAGCGAGAACCCTATCCACTCAGCCACTGTAAGATTTTTGTTAAGTTAAACATAAAAGTAAAAACAATACCGTAACGTAAGGCAAACCACAAAGAAAATACAGAGCATCCATAAGACATATGTATTTAAACAGATTTAAACTGGCATTAATAGTTTTACAATATTCAGATAACATTTTCATGAATGAGACCCAGCACCGGTAGTCTTGACCACGCCGAGCATCAACCACAACTGCTCCCGACAGACGCCCCCTAGTGGCATTTGCAGGATGGGTAAAATGCAGTGGACAAAATCCACACTGAGATAAATTAAGTGCACATTTACATTTTAGTAATTACTATGTCCAGCACACTTCTGGCTGTTTCCATGGCATTACTGTGCAGTGAGAGCCAAAGTCGTGTTTCCAGTGGCTTGGCATGTGCCGTGTGACCAGACCCATTAGGCGGCTGCGTGGCATAAGCGTGATCTGATGGTATTGAGAGATCACTTGCAGCACACGTCTGAGGCCTGAATAGCATGGTGAATATAGGAGCGCACATAGATGTCATGCCTCCCGCCGAGAGGTTGAAAGCAAAAAGTAGAGCGCAATGAATACTTGAGTGTTCTTCTGCGGGCTATGAAATTGAAAGGCCTCTCTCATGTTTTTTTTTTTTTTTTCACAAAAGATTTCAACGCAGAAAAACAGAAGAGATTCAAACTCTTTAATATCACAACTTTGAGACTGATCGGACGGAACTCATTTCAGTTCATTTTTCTGTACCTCTAACTTTTCTCTGAGGATTATACAAAGTTGTTGATTCGCCAACACAGATCAGATCATTTTTGGCTTTTCTTTTCGTCTCCTAATCTGGATTTTAGGATAAGTGGAGAGATTTACCTAATATAACTTGCCTTTAATACCAGAAAGAAGTTTGGTTCATAAACTGGCACTAGACAGATGCAAGAGTTTTAGGTGACCTTCGAAATTATTATTAGAAAGACATAAACACAAGGTTCCTAACTCATAATGAAAACATTTTAGTTTTCTTCAGTAAGAGGAGGAATTAAAAAATCAGACTCCAAAATGTGATGTGATCTGCACACTGTCATAATAAGCTGTGGCTGAGTGGTTAGCACTCTCGCTTCTCAGCAAAATGATCCTAGGTTAGAATCCCGGTTGGAACTGGGCCTTTCTGCGTTGATTAAGTATGTTCTCCCTGTGTCTGTGTAGATTTCCTCCAGGTGCTCCGGTTTCCCCTACCACTAAAAACATAGGTCTGGCATGTACATACAGTGACCTCACTCCCATCTCTGTGTGGAGTGAGAGACAAAGGCCCACAACTATTGTAAAGTGCTTTGTGACTCTGGTCTGTGAAAGGCGCTATATCAGTAAAGTATAAAGATTACAAATTTAATTCTCATAAATAACTATTAAATAACAACGCTAATTTCCCCACATGGGAGCAACAGTATTTATATCTGTCTATCCGTGTCTGTCCGTCTGTCTGACTATCTATGATGTCACATACTGACTCCATATACGAGCAGACCATTCACTATTTGTTTGTCTTGATGTGTAATTTATCGGACGCTCGATCAAAACAATCTCCGGATTTCTCGACATAATCCAGAACAAAGTTTGGAAAAGCCTTCAGCTGATTCCTCCCCTCTCCTTTGTTGTAGCGATAAAGTATGAGCTCCCAGTCCCCAACACACAACACATCAAAAAAATGTGAAATGAAATAAATCACAGATAGCATTTCACTAAACACTGTCCTTTTTAATGTCCCTCAGTGATAAATGTTGACTCGGAACGGATCACAATTATGTTTTAACTCAAAGTGAGACAGATGCTGAGGTAACTCCCGATGTATATGCCTTGGAGAAGCACTGGCCCGGTCGTATATATATTTATGGGTTAATCGATCCAGTAGCTGGATGACACCGTGTCCCCGCAATGTTCTGTCATCATGATGGTTCACTAATTTTAGGAAGGGTCTGCTTTCTCCCGCTGCCTTTCGCCCCGGCGCTGAGACACTTTAATTTGGCCGTAAAAGCGCCAATCACCGGGTTACTTCTTGTTCCAGGGGGAGGTCAATACGGGGCCAAGTCCATAGGAGGAAATATATTCACATAGTTCTCCTGGAGACACTGCTAACCCCTGACATCCCATTTGGGTTGTAATTCCATGTTCTGCCTCTGTTCTCTTAAGGCAGGGAAGAGGATGGGAGGGGCTACTCTTCTCCCCCTCTGAGGATGGTATGTTATAGGCTGTTAATTATTGCTTCAATGCATAAAATAAAGATATATTGCATGAAAATACAAAATATTTAAAAGTGGGATTCCAATTTTTTCCCTCATAATTATGCAGAGTGGGGGACTTTTGCACATGTACTCCAATGTGGTTTTACTGCAAATGGTAAATAATATTAAACTGAATCGATACAACTTTGTCCCAATAGAATTAGTAAAATAATGAAAACAATTCAACACACAACATGCTGTATTTATTCGCAAAACATTTTATAGTTTGCATACTTTGCCAAAGAAAGAGAGCCCTGTGAGTCACTATGGGCTGATTGGCTGAGCAAAGGGTCTTTCTTTTTCACTTTTCAGTCACAAAAAGAAATTTTAGAATTACGTAAAACAAGTTTTGCATGCGAAAGCTGGAATTCCATTAGACTTCTGAAGCTAAGCAGGACAGGGTCTGGTTGGTTTGGTGATGGGAGACCTCTGGGAACACCAGGTGCCACAGTGGGGGCGGCTGCGGTAAAGTGCCAATCTGTTGCTGTGTCCTTAGGCAAGACACTTCACCCATATTGCCTAGAATGAGTCTGGTGAATGGTTGGGGGTGGTCGGAGGGGTCGATGGCACAGACTGGTTGCCTCGCTTCTGTCAGTGTGCCCCAGGACAGCATCACCACAGTATATGGAGTGGATCTTGTGCACACTGGAGACTTTTACGGATATATTCCAATGTGGTTTTACTGCAAATGGAAAATAAATTAGACTGAATCTGAATGAACAATGACATGTGAAGAATCTTTGAGTGCTGTATAAAACTGATGCATTAATACTATTATTTTGAAAGTGAGAATGTGACCGTTTTTTCTCACGTATAGCCGCATCAGTTTGTTACACTTGGAAAATAAGGCACTCCAGCTTTGAAACAACTCTGGAGAAGGACAAGATTTGTGTTTCCCTTTGAGAAAAAAAACTGCTGAGCGTATGCTGCGTGTAATAAGGCGTAATAAGGCACTAATATCAGTCTCTCCTGTGTATGTGTGTATGTGCGTGTGCGTGTGTCTGTGTGTGAGATCCATGCTGAAGCCAGTCCCTGTCAGAGCAGCGGGAGGAGGCTCAGGCAGAAGGAGGAGGACTCTCTCGCTGCGTCCGCCCTCTGACAACGAGTTAACCTGAAGCGTGGTGGGCTTACCCCTCTCCCTCTGTGAGTGACGCGATCGCCTCTCTCTCTCTCTCTCTCTCTCTTGATCCTCAACTTTGCCTGTTGCCAGAGGAAGCAGCCGTCGCCGTGGATCGCGCCGTCTCCGCTCCTGTGTTTTGTTTGTGTTTTGTGTTTTTATTTCCTCCACCCGATCTCTCTCTGTCTCACACGTTTCTTCCTTCTGCGCCTTTCCACGCTGACCATCCCCGTGTGCGTGCGTGCGTCGTGGCCATGGTTGTAGTTCCCTGCCCATCGGACTCCCTGGTGTCATGCAGTGTACTAAAAAAAAAGGAAGGCGTGAGTTTCTTTGAATAGAGGTGGATCTTCCTGGATAACGCAAGGCTCTATTTGTTCGTCACAAGAAGAAGCAAGAGTTGGAGCGACATCACCTGGAGCAAAATGCCGAGGAGGAAACAAGACGCGCCGAAGCGGGCTCCAGGTACGTGTGGAGTAATTGTAGAAAAAAATTATGTGATCTCTTCGACAGTAAAGAGGCGAGGAGAAGACCTGTTCATGATCGTTGTGTTTCCGTCTCTTGCTTCCCGTGCAAGTCTGTCTCTCTGTTCCTTCATTACAGTGAAAGAAATCGGTTTACTACAGTGTTATTCGATCTTCTCTCGAAACTCAAACTTTCGCCCACTGCATCTCCAAAGTTAGACTGTGCCTTGTTCACACTGTGTCACTGATGCGTGCATTGTGTAGATAGAAATCATCTGTGATTAAAGAATATAAATATAAGAAAGTTCTTCCTTTTGTTTAAAGAGCGCTGAGGCTGAAGCACAGGACCATAAAGTTCTCTGTGCGTATTTGTTCCATGCGCGAGAGAAAGGGGCTTTACCTCTTTTAGTTCTTTCTACTCGTCTAAGTAAAAGATAAACAATTTGTGGACAGACAATGGAGTTTTGTGAGCTGGAAGGAGCCATAATCGACAGTTGCCATGTCGGATTTGACGGTTGATTGATTGGCTGTCATGCGGCTTTGATCTGATCCTCCCCTATTTGCATCAGAAAATCACTTCCCACCATGTGCTGCGGCCCCTGACGTCAGTGAAAGGCCCCAGTAGTGCACAGACACAGTCAGACTCTTGATGGTCAAGTGACTCAGAAAAGAGTGAGGGAAGGGGGACAAAGTGGTTTCACAGTGAGACATCATGCACACAAACACATGAACAGTCTTCCAGCAGAGAACATCACACCGCCATGTGCACACTTGTTTCTGTGGGAGAGCAGTGGAGAGGGAGGGTGCAGCGGGTTAGGGGTTGTAAAAGGAGCCGTGTGCTATGTAATGGAGGGGAGGAATGGGTTTGCTCTGTCAGACTGGGCCGTCACAACGGCTTTGTTTCATGTTTGATTTAATTGTCTCTCCCCTGACAGGCCCATTCATCAATGGCTTTAATGGTCAATCAGAGACTGAGTGAGTGCTCCCATTCTGTTTAGCCATAAGCTGGCCTGGGCTTTTATTTCATCAAAATGCCCCAGCCTAATGTACATGCTCACTGGCTCAGAGTGGCCGCGGGGAGCGCATAAAGAATGACTGAAAGCTTTCTGATTTGAGATCAGTGAGGGATGTTTTTTCTCCATCTCCTCCTCTCTCCTCCCTTACTGCAAGACTGCGCCTCTGTTGTCGAAGAAGAATAAAGGGCTGTAATATGGATCGTTTTGTGTTTTTAGAAAACAACTTTTCTCCCTGAAACCGTGCCTCTTTGTTCATTCATTCATCTATTCATTTCTTCATTTTTTCTTGCTCCCCTTCCACCCCTGTCAGTCAGCTTGTGCAGCTGCAAGTTATAAAGTTGTCAACTGTTCAGTGGCACACAAAGGCTGATGATGAATTGATTGCAGCACAGAGCATGGTGATAGAGAGAGCAAAGAAAAGAATGACAGATGATGGGCCTTGATTAGGGACTTAGGGGGAGAGTCTGCCCACTGCAACCTTGAGACTTGCATGAAAAATCTGCCCCCCTCCACCAGCCCATTGCTTTCTCATTGTCTCCCTAACATAAACTCTCTCCCAGCCTCCCCTGCTACCTCTACGGAGCAGGCTCTCTCCCTGCACTACAAAACTTGTTTTGCCTGCTTCATTAGCGTTAGTCCAATTAGCCATGAGGCTGATGGAGTCCTGACAGCCCCTGTGATTGGAGATGACAAGCTCGAGGTGCCCAACCCAATGAGGTTTGCCACCACTTTGATGTAATCAACTTGATATTACACCGAGCCCTCGCCTAGTGTTGTAACTCAATTTTCTGCTGCGGGTGACAAATGGGCTGGCGTACCTGGGTCAGGTCTGAGTGCTCTTAACAACTGAGGGCAGTGGGCCACGTAAACAACCGGACAAACAAACATGTTCTCCATGGCCCTCGTCCGGAGCTGCTCAAGTGTCTATAAGTAAAAATACCTAGAAATTCAGTTTCAGCGTAATCTGTGCCACACAACACTATCCTTTGACTAGAACCTCCACTGTACAGTATCCCCGCAGTGGCTTTAGTGCATTAGCAGTCAGCGCAGGTCAATGGCTCCTCTGAGACACACATACATGACATAATAGTGTAGTCTGCTTTTAAAAAGCCTGAATCAGTCACAGTGACAGAGTTGTTTGGTTTGGGTCTGTCTCCACAGCAGTCTCGTCTTTCTGCAGGGTCAGGACTGCAGCTGCCAGACTGGCAGCCATCACTCATGTGTGTGTAAGCTGAAATCAGCCGCCTTCCTCTCTGATTTGTTAGCTTTGAGCTCAGAGTGCGTATGCGCATTTGGCTTGTAATAGTGATGAAAGGAATTGTAACTGTAGACCACCTGCGGAGGTCGGACCATATTTTTTAGAAAACGCTGATCCCTTGTTCCTGTTTCGCCTCGGTCTAAAGAAGAGAAACACATATGCTTAAAGGGAACAGTACAAGTGTTTATGGCACACATTGTGGACACATGCACACAAGCAGTAAAGTGAAATTAAGTGAGCCGTTGTTATCTCAAGGCTGCCTTCCTGTTGTTTATGTGTGAAGTCCTCACAAAGCCAGCAGGGGAGACTGGAATTGTTAAGTTGACATATGGGCTGACTGTGTTTAGCTTTCTTTAACTGCTGCACACCCTCCTCCCTCTACAGTTTTGTTTGCAGGTGTGGACCCATGTCTTTTGGCCCGGTTGCTAATGAAAGTCCTAGATGCTGGTGAGCTTGAGTCACGTCTGTGATCTATGTGTCTGATAAGTGCATAGCTAATGAGTGGTGTGCACAAGGACTGATGAAGCGTTTCCCACAGGTATTGACAGATGCCTTTTTGTTTTTGCCATAGGCCCTGACTCCATAAATCTTGTAATGATAACAGTGCCCCCCTGCCTGTGAGTGAGAGAAGGGGGTGATGAGGAGGAGAACAGTGCGGGGGCGGTGAAATGGGCCTTCTATCCTTTTTAACACTCTCTTGGCAGATGTCAGGCCACTGGGATGGACCATTGAAGAGCAGAAAGGGCAGTGTAAGTGCAGTTTTAGTGTCACAAATTGAAAAGTGTTAGCCATACACCCTTTCAGTGGGCTTTCACTTGAGTTTTTTTCAGAGCAACTGTTGTCTGGGTCTTTATAAAAATAGTTCCAGTGTTGTTGTGATAGATGCAGCTGCAGTGTGGTGACAATCAGGATGGGCCGGATTCCCCTCCTGGTCTCGGGGCCAGGCGGGATGTGTGTGCTCTTTTTTTTGGGAGGGGGGGGGGAAGCTGAGCGGCTCTGGTCTTCAGGGGTCCTGAAACCCAATCCTAGAGGAGAATAGGCCGGCCATGCCAGAGAGCCGATTTCCTTTTCAACGTGCTCATTTATCACTGACCCACCCTTCGCTCCTGACACTCTGACGTGTGTCATTTATCAAGCAGGCTTTAGCAGACACACAGGAGAGGGAGGCAGAGGGGCAGCGAGGAGAGAGAGTGCACAAAACAAGACAGAGACTGGACTCAGAGCAACAAAGAGCAGGACAGGAATGGAGAATGAGGTGCAGTCAGCGGAGACACTGTCACTGTCTGCCTTGTCTGTGTCTCCCAGCTTTTCCAGGGTAGAATGAGTTTCCTGGAGCCCGTGAGGAGAGGCGTTTGGCAGGGGAGATGTTTTGGAGATGACAGAGCAGATTGAGTTACACTGAGTTATGTTTTGATGAGTGACTGCATTCGCTTCTGTGACACATCTCGGTGGCATGTCTGTGTGAAGCAGAGAAATGTTTTGTAACTTTAATAAGTACGATCCTGTTTGTTTGTGAGCTGTGAATGTATGTGCAGGGCCCCTGTGAGCCGCTGTGCACTGGTCCATATGGCGTCAGTGCTTAATGTGCCTATAGACGTGTGCCTCTCCCTGATGAGTGGAGCTGACAGGTATCACTCATGCAGCTGCCTGGCCTCCAAATGAACCCGGCTCAGCTCTCCCGTGGCCCTAACAGGCTCCCTCCAAGATGGATGCTTCTTTAAAAATCAGATTAATGATGGATACCAGGCTTATAGTGCCATTTATCATGAAGAATATTATTTAGGCCGGCCGTGTATGGCTGTAACTGGAGAGCCAGGACGAGGAGAAGCAGGGTGGAAAGCCTAAGACAGACACTCACTGTTTGATGGATGGATGAGTGCGCTCTCAGAGTGTTACTAGACACCAGTGCCGCAGCAGTAGGCCATAATCAGATAGCCCAGGGATGTTTATCCCGCAACTACACTACCCAGATTGCCTTGCCTGGAGGGTTGTTTTTATGAAAGGTATAGTCGATCATTATTATCGTCTTCAGATAGTGAGTGGAGCCATAAAAGCGAGAGGATACAGGCAGAGTGTTTTTGGAGGTTATTGTTTTGCGTTAGAATATCTTCAGATGAGACTGATTGTAATGACTACCTTGGCGTGTCCCTTTGCCCTACAGAATCACTCCCCACGATCATGAATAAAAGAGTACAGTGAGAGGTCAGGCCAGGGCTAGCTCCTTATGAAAAAAAACACACTTGTTTTGTTTTTTCGTCCTTTTCCTCTGTGGCTCCTGCCTCCTACACACTGTGATTTATGGTGGCCATCCATCTTAAGGCTGCGTCCATCACCTCCTCGTTGCTAGGCAATCATGGAGCAGCTGTGGTTTTGGATTGTCCCACTCCTAACTATAACCCTCGCACCCCTTTAACCGGCACCTTTAAAGACCGAATGGAAATACTACACGTTGACTAAAGTGTAAAGACAGACTGTGATGTCGCACACCTCTCAAGACTCAATGGACGGAAGACTAACAGTTTTACAGGGGTCTAAGTTCATACGGTCAGGCTGTATTCAATGTTGTGAATTATGTAAATATTGACAAACTATATATGTACGTGTGTGTGTATTGCCTGCTCCTTTTTTAAGAACATAATATTAAAATGTTTTTGGACGCTTTTAAAAAGAAGATTCAAGATTTGTGTTCAAACGGCAACATCTCATTAACCTGGATGCTGCTTGCTT